TCAACCCACTATTTTTTCTTAAAATGTCCTGTACCAAGTCAGGAATATGGCAGTTGTTATCTTAGTCCGTTTATATGTATGTTGGCGTTTGCTTTAGTTGTATTTCAGTGTTTTTGTTGTTTTCCTCTTATAATTGATGTGTTTCCCTCGGTTTTAGTTTGTTATCCGGATTTGTTTTTGCTTAATCGCATTATGACTATTGAACAGCGGTCTACTACTGTTGCCTTTATCTATAGTATCCACGGAATACATGCACATGATTGAACTGGAAATGTGTTGCCATACATGGATTTGCTGAGAAAGCAGAAACTATGTAATCGTTAAATAGCAATTATAAAATAGATAAAAGTAATAATTATGTTCATAAAAGTAAAGATAAATTAATAATAAAAAATAAAACTTTAAATCAGTTTGGAGTGTATAAAGAGTAGGGTTTAGAAACTGAAAATAATAGTTTTACAGGATGTGAAGAAAATTATTATTGTGATATATAAACTCATCAAAGATATCAGGATTATAAATAGGAAGGACAGACGCGTGTTTCGTCAACATAAGAATCGTTAGTTACGCTCGAACCAAAACACTTTGAAGGCAAAATCAAATACGAAGTTGAAGAGCTTTAAAACCAGAAAATTCCCCAAAATTGTTCCAATTACACTGTCGAAATCTATTCCAGGGGTAAGAAAAATCTTAGTATTTGGATCAATTTAACAATTTAGTAAACATATAAAAAATGAACATATAAATGATATATGATTTATCTTTATATCAATCATTTTTGGCTTTTTAACGACGAGAATGAGATGGAGTTTATGAAATCATCGATCACAATATCAAAACTATATTTTGGGCATACATTAAAAGTGGTACGTTGCTTGGTACACTCTATTATTTGGCTGTATCTTGAATGATTTAAATCACGAATGTGTTAGAAATTATCTATTTCCCACCAACTTTATACAGATGTATGGCTCCAAAAAGTTTATACATTTTTGTTGGTATAAATGTTTCGACAAGACTTTAACATATCTTCTGGATTGTGCAGTTATAAAACAGATATGAACCTTGTACCTGAAATTTGTCTTTCTTTGGTGTTGACGATCGTTTTTCTTGTTATAGAAAGACTACATTCATATTAAGTAATTATTTCTTTGAAATTGGTCTGTGCTTTAAAGCATTTTATAGCGTCTAATTGAAAACGAATGAATTTTTTTCCCCTTTTTAGACACGTCTCAAATTTTGGAAATGGATGGAGGGTTATAGGAGGATTGTTAGTCATGTGGTATATTTGTTCGATGATGCGCATTCGCATAGAAAGGATTGAATGATCAGACAGGTTGAAATCCTGGTAGACAAAGTCATTAGCGTTTTTGTTCATGTCCGATCTATGACCGCACATACGCTTATCAAGCCTTCCTTTCGTTTAACCGACATATAACAAACTGCAAAGTTACACTTATATTGTAAAAGAGAGGCAAAAGATACCAAATAGACATTCAAACTCATAAGTCGAAAATAAACTGACAACGTTATGGCAAAAAAAGAAAAAGACAAACAACAGTCTACAAAACACAACATCGAAAACTGAATACTGAGCAACAGGAACCCCACCAAAAACCGGGGGTCATCTCCGGTGCTCCAGACGGATAACCAAACCTTCTACACATGAGACACCCTTCTTGTTGCTCATGTATGTATAAACCTTGTAAGTGTAAATGTTCTCAATTTTCATGATATAAGCACGACTTTCTGTCTTGTTTTCTCTCTGTACTTAGTAGTGTTATATACTATTAAGTTATTTATTATCGTTCTAAATTTGTATGGAATATTTTCCTCTGATCATTTAGCAAATGAAACCTAATCATCTCAGTTGGCCTTTAACAAAAGTCACCCTAACGCGTGTGGTGAAGTATTTTTTAGACTAAACTTAATTACTACCGCTACGGTCGCGTCAAACATATAAAACATTTTTTTTTGTACTAATTTGATCCTTTCGAGGAACTACTGACCACAGTGTCATGCATAACCTCGGACACAGTAGTATTTATATATGGTGAAAAGGGTCATAGTCTTGGCAAAAAAAAAACTTTAAACATAATACTCTCATACCTGTGAAGTTTATACCTATTTGTTTTAAAGTGTACAAAGCAGACTTCAATTATTTGAGGATAATGATGAATGACTTTACAGCAACAAATCAAATGCATGTTCAGAGTTCAGGTTGATAACACGTTAATGCGATATGAATATCAACCATGTTTTTTACTAGTCCGACATGATAAGCCGGACTTTTAACTCACTATTTAACAAGATAGCAGTCCACAGGAAGACAAATCAACCTACCCGTACACATTATTATGACTCCGAGTCGACCATTCTTTTGATGGAGTTCGATATTTTTGTTATTTTACTTTTTGCATACTAATGCATAACAGAGAAGCAGCAAAAAGTCTTTGGTTTGACCCGACCGTGATTCTAACCACCACCGCCCATGCACTCTCGAGGTTGACAGATTACCAAGAGACCAGCAAGGCGGTTTAAGTTTGAAGAGAAATTTTGTCTATTAGAGATAGCTTTTAAAATGAGGTTTTTTTTCACACGGATTTATACAATTTTATCTCATAAAATCTAGATAGGCACTTTATAACCATGGAAATATAAACATGTATATCGATTTGATTATACATTACGAACAAATCAACAGATCAAACTCTATAGTTTAATCTAAAGCTTTGTTTTTATTCATTTTAAATGACTAATTTTCAGAAAAAACATTAATGACTTTTTCTATGTAATTAAAAATTCATGGAACACGCTGTTTTCGCTAACTTGTTTCCTTATGATAAACGTATTTAATCGCTTCATATACTTGATATATAAACCGAGAAGGAATATAGTATCTTATTTGCATTAAAAACTGCCAAACACCTGAACATCAATTGTCAGTACATCCAGGATTATTAAAATAGATAACATCACACGTTACACGTAACTTAATTCGAAACTTTAAGGCATTTATTAAATGTTTCATTTCAACATGTAGATTGATTTACCAGTATATATCACATTGCTTTGAATCACTAAAATGATTTGTATATTTTTCTGGCAGTTTTTAATGGTTATCAATGTTGAAACATTTGGACGTTTATCTACCGGACAAGATGTAAATTCGACCTATATCGACGACATCTATGCGGGGTTTTGTAAAACAACCAAATGCTACAATGATAAATTCGGAACTACTTCGGATCGTGATTTACAACACAACAATAGTACCGGATGCGATTGTTTATGTGATATTTCTTGTTTTATATCTGGGATTTGTTGTCCGAAAATATTTTTCGATTATACAACATGCACAGAAACAAACATCCTTCATTCAAATCCTCAACAAAAACATACCAAACCAGTGTTGATGATAGATAGATGTCCAAATACATCAGATTACACACTAAGAAAAGAGTGTGAAATTTCCAGTGATTTAGAAACACAACTTCAAAACACACCCGTCACATCGATAAACAGTGGACATACATTTAGAAATATTTACTGCCTAAATTGTTTCAACATTTACAATGTCAGTTTGGATAGAGTCAGATCTTGGACTCTAAAAATCGAATGTAAAGACCAAGTGAACTTTAACTTTTTCCCATCCTATTCAGCTGTAATTAAACATGCAAAGACGAGAAACTGTGACATATTTTTCCGATCAAGTTCCTCTATTACAAAACATTGTCAAATTAATCTTGAAAAAACGAACGACATTATAAGTACTTGTAATGTGTCTGGAACATGGACAACATACGACCGCAACATTGAATTAGCTTGTCAGATATACGACAATAGTTTCTACTCGTTCAAAAATGTGTTCTGCTTTTTATGTAACCCTTTTCCAGAAAATGTCATTTTGCATAGAAAAGTAAAAGAAAACTGTAATGATAGCTGTAACAGGACAGATATTTTGAATACTAGTTGTACCGACAAAGGAATGTTGAACATATACGATCTAGACGTAGAACATAACTGTAAAAATATAATGCGTACAGAATGCAATCTACCAATAATTAAATATTTCTGTCGGCTATATACTAGTATCAACAAGTACAACATTAAACCTCGAATTAGTTTATATGATGTGTCTTTTCGAGCAGTATTCGATATATCAAAGTACTCAAATAATTTTGAACAGATACCTACGACTAACAAGTGTAATGAAACACAAGTTTTAGATTCAAAAAAGGTAATGCTTTTGATTCCTATATGTAGAAAATGATCAAAAGATATATAACTTATAAGCTAGTAAATAATTTATCAAACGATACATCAACATATATATTATATTATCCGTGAACAGAAACTGCATTAATATGATTTAAAGATATATATCTGATATTTCCTATTGTAGGCTTTGTCAAATGTAACATATTTATCTATTAATAGAATGATATATAGCTTATTAGTTACCAAATTATGTATCTAATAAAACATCAATTTGTATGAAATTATTCATGAAAAGAAACTGCATTGATGCAAGGAAAACAAAAGCCATCAGTGTGTGCTTCTTAATCGTTTTTATTTTATCAGTTAACGCACATTATGATCAATGCTAATATTTCACATATTTCCTAATATATCTTTGTTAAATTTAACATATTTGTCTTTCTATAGAATGATTGTCGTGGTATCATGTGCTATCCAGGAAGAATTCTTTTGAAGACTGGATGTGTGCCTATCTTTAAGATTACACGTGACCTTGCTTATATTTTATCTCTTGGAATGACAACAGAGTTAGTACATGATATTGATAAACCACTTTCATTTTTAAAGTCAGTCAGAAGATCGTTTGCATTACACGTGACCTTGCTTATATTTTATCTCTTGGAATGACAACAGAGTTAGTACATGATATTGATAAACCACTTTCATTTTTAAAGTCAGTCAGAAGATCGTTTGCAATATATTTGAAAAGCATATTAAATATACAAACAGTAACAGTTACGTCGTCAATTTTTCTGGCGAATTCAATATGTGCAGAAAACATCACTCTGAAAAATGGTACAAAATTAAACATTAGTTTGTATAGAAAATTCGTCATCAGAGAATATGTTGAAAGATCCAATTTGGAGGAACAACTCATTTACCTACAAAACGGTTATTTTGTGGTTAGATATGGTCGTAAAAAATACAATTTCAAACTCTTTAATAATGTTGAAGCTTTAACAGCTGAGAGTCATATTTCAACACTTAGATATTTACAACGATGCTTTCTCAAGAGGATCAAGCAAACTAAAGATTCATATGTTTATTCCCATGTCAACAAACTTTTGGTATGTAAACAAATAGAATTTGAAACAACCGAGTTTAACATACGATTCTCCAAGTTAATTGTACTTTCAACAAAGATCGAATTGGATTATGATGAGTATGCAATAATGTCTTCAGGCAAAGCTAGGATATGTCTGGAAACCTTCAGAAAAATGTTGACCGAAGACACACCTGAAGGAAGAAATGTATGGGGAATTATTGAGGTGACGTGTTCTTGCACATCTCTAGTATGTTTAGTAGTCACATTTATTACATACTGTGTTTTCCCTACTTTAAGGACTTTACCTGGTAAAATCAATATGTGTTTAGTCTTTGCAACGTTTCATGGTCATGGTTTGTTCTATTTCATTTTGTATGGATCAAGGTCACACGTAGCGTGTATGATTATTGGAACGTTAGTACACTACTTTTGGTTGGTTATCTTTGGTTGCTTGAATGTTTGCTCGTTTCACATGTATCAAGCTTTCACAAGCGAAAAAGTAGTAGTTTTTTCAGAGGTCAAACGATTATGTATATACATAGCATATTCTTATGGGGTACCATCGATTATAGTGTCATCAAACGTTTTATTCACATATATATATTCAGATAAAAAAACCTTCGGATATGTCGGTGACATTTGCTTCTTGAACCATCAACTGTCATTCGTATTTTCATTCATTGTTCCTATCACTCTTGTTTGTTGTTCCAACTTGTTTTTCTTTACAACAACAGTTATGCAAATCGTTAAGAGACCAAAACTAGAGAATGAAAGACAAATTAAATTAAACCGATTACATGTAGCTATTTATCTGAAATTGTTTTCTGTGACAGGTATTTCTTGGTTATTGCAGATCATTGATACATTCCTTCCAATGTCTGTGTTCTCAAGAATTGTTTCAGGTCTGAATGGTTTGCAAGGTATATTTATCTTTTGGTCCTTTATTTGTAACAAACGTGTTTTTAATCTATATTTGAAAAGCTGTAGATCAAATCTAAATAAAACTGTCAAGGAAATAGCGGGTAAATCGGAACAGGAAACAAATAGCATTGAATTAACAACATCAAAACAAGAAGAGTAACATAGCATGCTAATATCCTTATTTAAGTAATATCATTGTATATTACTTGATGCATTTACCACATGAGACTTAACATCGAATGTGTACTCACCCTGTACAACGTGACGGCTGCTCCTAATGGAGCAGATGGTCAAATCAGGAATATGACTGTTGTTATCCATTCGTTTGATGTGTTTGAGCTTTTGATTTTGCCATTTGATAAGGGACTTTTCGTTTTGAATTTTCCTTGGAGTTCGGTCTTTTTGTTATTTTACTTCCGGAGCACCTGACATCACCTCGAGTTATAGCGAGTTTCATGTTGCCAAGTGTTTAGTTTTCTATGTAGCGTTTTATAAACTTGTTTGTCTGTTCGTGGTCTTTCTGTTATTTTCATGGCGTTGTCAATTTCTCTTTATAGTGTGTTTGCTGATATATGCTTCTCTTTTTAATGCATTATAGTATATAACCTCCAACCATTGGGATCGATAGTTGAGTATTGCTCAGTTAGTAAAGCTGTAGCTGTTTGTGATAAGAGAAGAAAATAAATCGTTTTTCGTGTATTACAATTATTTTTTGCAAACAATAAAAAAAAAGAGATTACATAAAATGATTGATTTATTATCACAAAGCTCGATGCATACTTTATTACTGAGTCGGTAGTCCAAACGACCAGTAATTCAATTTTAAGGTCATATAAATTATCTCTTCTTGCAAAATTTCAAAATTCTTTTGGTTTTCAGAAAATGAAATCATCTTTAGTAACTGGAAGATGGCATACTGTTCCATGATTGGAGCGTGTCTGCAACATTTTCAAAGGGCTGATAGAAAATGAATGTCATTACTTATTTGTCTGTTCAAATACAGTATTAGCATCCTCAGAGCAAAATACATTTCTGAATACTATTGTATGTAGGAAAAAAAACGGAGTTCAAGCTCAAAGGTTTTTTGTGTACTTTACCGGCATTGAGTAACGTTTCTTACTTTCAAAATTTGTAAATTCATATAACTTACATTTAAAATATATAATACTACAGCCAAGTGTGTCTTAATATATATGTTGTGTGTCTTTTATTTATTCATAATTGTCGGGTCATTTGTATATTTGTGTGGTTATTGTTTGTAATTCGTGCTTAATTCAACACTTTTTGTTTGTTATTGTAATGTGTATGTTATTGTCTGCCTTTTCTAACAACGTTAACTGTCTAATAAACTCATCATAGATACCAAGATTGAAATTTTATACGCCAGACAAGACTACAAAAGACTCATCAATGACTCTCGAATCAGAACAGTTGAAAAGGCCAAATAAATGACGAAGTTGAAGAGCATTGAGTACCAAAAAATCCTAAAAGTTTGCCAAATACAGCTAAGGTAATATATTCCTGGGGTAGAAAATACTTAGTAATTCGGAAAATTCAAAGTTTTGTAAACAGTTAAATTTGTTGAAATGACAACCTTTTAGAATAAGTTTATTTAAAAATCGATAAGTTTACATGGATCGTCTAAGAGTGAAATAACATTTGAGAAATTGAAATTTGTTTTGCTGGTATCTGAAAATATGTTTGGCTTCAACCTATTTTTTTCCTTTATCTTTTTAACCAATATTATGAAGAAAGGCGCTAAACGAGATTGATAGTTATTGTTGGTGCTTGGCAGAAAGTTGAGATATACAAAAAAATAAAACGTTCAGCCCCGCCACAGGTTCATGTGCCTGTTTCAAAGCAGGACTACTTCAGAGATTGTGTTACCTTAAATCTTAATGTCTTTTGTCATTAATGACATTCGGTCTCTGTTTTGTTTATTCACAATATTCCACAGGCAAAGTTGATGGGTATGGCTATTCTTGTTATGTCCACTTTGGTCATATATTTCCTTGCGTTTTTAAGTATTTATACATCAATGGGTTTTTATTTTTTTTGTTTTAAGCGGTCCTGATGAAGGTATATCAAGAATAACTCTTTAAACACAACAACATCATATACCGTTTATTTCACTTCTTGCGATTTAGAGCTTGATATGTTGTATCACATTACTGTTTTCCATTCGCCTATGTTCTTTTAATTTCTTTACAATTGTATCTGACTCCTTTATATATGTTTTATAAAAAGTGTATAATTCTCGGCAAGTTTGCTCAATTTCGTAAGTATAAGTGTGCAGACAAGATTTTGTCAACATATCATATGTATTGTACAGATAGGTAGCAATACACAGATAGGAGTTTGGTGTTGCATTTTGGCCACTGTGATTGTTTTAATATGAAAGTTATTGGGTAATAAAATTGATTTTAAGATAATTCAAGAATAATATAGTCTTCAAAGTGGGTTTATGTGAACATCAAGATTGTTTTTTGCTTATTTTATAAGCCATGTTCTGTTTGACAGTCCGTATTTTCACATCCGTACCGCCCATAGGTCCAACAATTATTGTAGCGTTTTCCAACAAATATTTGACCCTCGAATTTTTCAATTCAGTTTTATGGAAAAATGAGGTGAAATGCATATGATTTTTGTTTGACCTACAGATAGATAAAGTCAATGGTTTCAGAAAAGGTATCACTCTAATGGATTGAAATTCTACTTTGGAACACATTTTGGTGATTTTTGTGACATTTTCGCCCTCATTTTGCAATATTTTGAATTAAATTAATGCAAATTGTTGACATGGTTACACCTAAAAGAGATCATATTTTACCATTTTAACTATTGGAAATCAAATATATGGAAGATGCTGTGTCCATACATATGCACAAACATAACACAAACATCAAGCCTTATTTGTTAGAAAGCACAGGAAAGAGGGTGGTTAAAAATTATTTGTGTCAATTTTAAGTTTTTTTCCTAACTGTGTAATGCTACCTTATGTATGTAATATATGTAGATGTGAACCATTTGCCTGAAATCCACGATCGTAATTCCTGTTATAGAAAGATAATGCAAAGTTCATGATTAAAAATGTCTTTGAAACTGGTCCGTTTTTTTTAAATATGTTCTGCGACTGATTTCACAAAAAAATGTAACGAAAAAAATACTCGTTAGTCATTTCAGTACAACTTACAGTCAATTTTTGTCGTAAAATTTTTTTGTGAAATGAGACCCTGGTGTTTAATAAAAACGAATGGTTTTCGCAAAAAAAATCTGTTTTAAGACCTCGACACAAATTTTGGAACTGGATGGATGATAATATTTTTTATGTTTCCACAGGAGGAATGTTAAGATTTATGTTTTTACCTTAATCCTTTCAGTATAGCACATTGGAAAATGTTTTCATGAATGCTATTTGTCATTGTTGTTGTCGCTCATACGTATTGACGATAACCTGTTCCGGTTTGGTAAGATCTTCGAAAGAAAGTTAATGTATCTGGTATAACAGGATGACAAAACAGAAGGTTGAGAAGTAGTGGGGGTGTTGTAGTTGTTTATGGAAGGGAAGGTTTATATCTAAGTTTTGCGTTGTTGAGAAAATTATACGGTTGCTACATGTGGCTTGACCCCCCCCCCTCTTTGTTTTCTTTTCCGATGGGACTTTTTTTCTGACAAAAATCCTATAATTCTTAAGTTAAATGCTGTCCAACTGAATACACATTTAGCTGAACCTACATATTCATGCTTTTGGATTTATTGTTAATCAGTTATATCTGCTTGTCCTTCATTTGCATGACATATTTGCTCTGAGCAGTAAGCAAACACAATGGCCTTTATTAAAAGGCACCGTAACGGATGTGAAGAAGTTTTTGTTTAGACTAAATTTCTTGCTGCAACGTTTTCTCATCAAACAGTCTCATTAACCAGTTTTTGTTTTAATTTGCCTTTAGTTGATAAAACCTTTTGGATGACCTTTTTTTCTGTACAGAAGTTTACTACTGTTTTAAACATTTGTTATACCTTAAGCTAGCATTATAAGGTAAAACGTAGGTAGCGACTCTCATCCGTTCTAATAATGATAATCATTCTGTGCCTTAGAAATTAAGACCTGTTTGGAGTTTTCAATTTGCTTGTGCTCGTTTGTTCCGTTACTGACCAAAATGTTATGGATTACCCCGGAAACAGTAGTTTATGTGGTGAAAAGGGTCGCAACAGTTTAAAAAAAAAGCTTTAAAAAGCATACCCTGATCATTAGGATTGTGGATATTTATTTGAGAATTCAAAGCAGATTTCCAGTAATTGAAGAGTAATCTAGAATATTCAAGATAGCTTTAAAAACAAGTTTTTTCCTTCGCGTGGCAACTGGATTTATATAATATTATCTCATAAATTCTGGGTTAGCCCTATTATAGTACTATGGCAACATACACATGTTATATCACGACGAACAAATTAACCGATTAAATTTCATAATTTGATGCCTATAGTTTTGTTTTTGTTAATTCCAAATGAAGTAAATAATTTTCAGAAACACAATTAGGGTTATTTCTAGGTAATTAAAAAATCATGGAACAGCGCTTTTTCGCTAAGTGGTTTCCTAAATAAATGATAAACGTACCTAATGGCTTCATATATAATTCGAAAATGAATATAATAATAGTATTTGAAACGCATGAAAAACGTCTGAACACCTCAATGTCAATTGTAATTACTCAAAACATTGTCAAATTGATCTTGAAAACACGATTGACATCATAAGTAATTGTAATGTGTCTTTAACATGGACAACATACGACTTCAACATTGAATTAGCTTGTCAGATATACGACAATAGTTTCTACTCGTTCAAAAATGTGTTCTGCTTTATATGTAATCCTTTTCCTGAAAATGTAATTTTACATAGTAAAGTAATAGAAAACTGTAATGTGAGTTGTAAAAGAGAGGCGAAAGATACCATAGGGACATTCAAACGCATCAGTAGAAAATAAACTGACAACACCATGGCTAAAAAAAGAAAAAGACAAACAGACAAACAACAGTACAAAAACACAACATAGAAAACTAAAGACTGAGCAACACGAACCCCACCAGAAACTGGGAGTGATCTCAGGTGCTCCGGAAAGGTAAGCAGGTTCTGCTCGACATGTGGCACTCGTCGTGTTGCTAATGTTAGAAAAACAATGTGGGAAAAAGGAACGGGATTGCAGTTACGACAATTGGAAACTGTCATCTGTGAAATGGATATTCATTAACGGTTAACCAACTCGCGATGGCGTCCGTAAAATTTACGAAGTGATGATTTCAACTTCACCTCGTGCAACTCTTGGTTTGATAGCTTCCTTATCAGCAGCAACCCTCTATCAAGGAAATCATGGAAATGCATGATAGGAAATGTAACAGGACAGATATTATGAATAAAGGGAACGTTGAACATATACAATCTGGACGTAGAACATAATTGTAAACATAATGCAATCTACCAATCATTGAATATTTCTGTCTTCTATATATTAGTATCAAGTTTACGACAAACATCTTTTAAAACCCTGTTGACGATGTTGTGTCTTTTCGAACAGTATTCGATTTATCAAAGTACTCAAATAATATAGAAACAGATACCAACGACGAATAAGTGTAATGAACCACAAGTTTTAGAATAAAAAAAGGTAATGCTTTTCATTCCTATATGTAGAAGATGATCAAAATATATATAGCTTATTATTTAGTTAATAATTTTTCTCTAATTCTTCGTCAATTTATCCCTTTCTGCACCCATTGTATAAAAAATTTAATCAAAGTGTGGTTCGTTTGATCTCAGTTCTTCATTGGTTAAAATCCGATTATGACGTCGAATTTACTTGCTTTCCTCTGAATTTCCTATTGTGACGGCATGAAAAAAGGCGACCATGCCTGATGACGTCACATAGAAAGAACACATCTTTTTACAGATCATTCGAAAAGACGGAATAAGTTTGCCTGCATAATGTTTGAAAATCATTAGAGAAACAGATTCCACCACCAAATTTCGTGTAATACGATATTTATCCACTCTCGACAGTTAAGCCTCGCGTTTTAAATTTGAAAATTTAACTGTCTCGAGTGGATAAATATCGTATCACACTCGATGCAGTCGTAGAATCTATATATCTAATGATACATCAAAATATATTATATGATTCGTGAAGAGAAACGGCATTGATGTAAGGAAACATAACCATCAGCGTGTTCTTTTAAATATCATTTTGTTCTTTTATTAGATAGCACAAATTATGATCAATGCACATATTTCACATATTTCCTAAGGTATCTTTGCAAAATTTAACATATTTGTCTTTTTATGGAATGATTGTCGTGGTATCATGTGCT